CCCCCCCAGGCCTTCACCACACTATTGTCTGTGAAATATTTTTGTACCAAAAAACACGTTTTGGGCAACATTCACTATTTACATATTTTTATTTTTTTATTTTTAAAAATATATCTCTATTGATTTCAGAGAGAGGAAGGGAGAGGGACAGAGGCAGAAACACCAATGATGAGAGAGTCATTGATCGGCTGCCTTCTGCACGACCCTGACTGGGGATGGAGCCCGCAACCCAGGCATGTGCCCTGACCGGGAATCGAACCGAGATCTCTTGGATCCTAGGTCGGTGCTCAACCACTGAGCCATGCCAGCTCGGCTATTTACATATTTTTTAAATTAAAAAAGCAACAACTTATGTTTCTCTTCAGAGTGTATTAGAGCAACATTATGGCTTAATGAAAGATTTGCGGTGTGAAACTGTCTCCTTCAGGGTGGGCCCCGAGCCTCTAGGTCACAGGAGCCCATCTAATCTGGGCTGTTGAAGTTCACACAGCATCATAAAAAGGGACAGAACAGAATCTTGCCTAACAAATCAGGATGTAAAAGAGGCAAATGCTAAGGCTCATGCCGATGAAAGTAATTATAACCACTTACATGATGAGTCAGAAAATGCATTTTAGCAGGCATGAAAACTGTCGGAACTCAGCAGAATAGGCTGAGTCTAGCCCTGCCTGAAATTCTCCATGAGACCCAGTGTCATCTGAGGTCTTTCTACACCTCCAAGTCTAGATAGTATTGCCAGGAACCCCTATTCCACAGCCTGTAGGATTTTAAAGCACCCCCTAAGATTTTTTGCAAAGCTCTGGATGGCTTATGGATCTGAGTTTTTATCTCTCTGAATTCATTCGGTTGATAGATCGTCTTAACCATTCCCCACTTGCTGCTCTTGCACCTGCTCAGACCAAACTCATTACCTAACTCAACACAGACACCCCAAACACGCCCCCTCCCTTAGAGTATGTGCCCTTTGCACCCCTTGGCGAAGAAAGAGAGAGGTTATACCAAGTAATACAAACAACCTTGAAGCACACAGCAAACGTGGCAGCTACGCAAGGACTTCTGATCACTGCGCCACTGGGGAATTTTTCCTGGGCGAGCTCTACTTGTTTGGGATCCCAGCCTCCCCCTGCATCTCTCAGCCGCCTCTCCCTGCACCCTCCCTTGTCCTCCTTGCCACCCCCTCTGCCAGCGGTCCTCGGTTGTCATACTGACCTACGCAGAGCATTCAGCTCTCTGGCGTCCCTACTCCCAAAACCAATTCTGGGTCTTTTGCTTTTCAACAGCAAGCAAACCAGAAAGTCTTTCAGGTAACTGGACCTACATTCCTAAAAGCAGTTATTATCAGTAACAATTTATATTCTCCTGCACATCTGTATAAGCTTTGTTAACTCCTCTGAAAAACCAGCTTTGAAACATAAGCTTGTTTATATGTCTACGGTGGATACGAACCGAACGACACCGGTTTGAACTGGAGGAGTCCACTTACACGGATTATTTTCAATAAATACTGTAAATGTAATTTCTCTTTCTTGTGATTTTCTTAATAGCATTTTCTCTTCTCTCGCTTACTTTACTCTAAGAATACCATATATAATACATGTAACATGCAAAATCTGTGTTAATGGACTGTCTGTGGTATCGGTAAAGCTTCCTGTCAGTTGGAGGCTATTAGTAGTTAAGTTTTGGGGGAGTCAGGCTAGTTTTGACTGCGTGGGGGTCAGCGCCCCAACACTGTGCTGTGTAAGGGCCACCGTGTCTGTCCACGCGCTGGCGCGAGAGCAGCCCCGGGCCGATTGAAGCGCCCGGGCTCCCCCGCAGGCAGCCCCCCGCGCCCTGCCTTGGCGTCCAGCTCCTGCCCCGTGCCCCTGCCCTGTCCAGCCTGCCACGCAAAGGCCCCCGTCCAGCGCCCCGCCGCAGCCTCGTCCCAGAGCTCACCCCTCACTCGGTCTCATACCGCGTCCCTGTTGTAAAACGCGGCGGGCATGGAGGCCGGAACCGACAGTGCTGCGGGCCCTGGGCGACGGGTCCCAGGGGCATCTCCAGTGTGTGATCTCTCTGGCTTGGTACTGGGCTCCATAGCAGCAGTGGCGACGTCCCCGCTCTCATCCCCCGTCCCTCCCGGAGGGCGGTACATACTCCGCCGTGGTGCCCGCCGTTTCCCCGCCCAGTCTGCTGTGCTCGTTCCTTCCACAGCCCAGCCACTCTGCAAAGGCCCATTGCCTGCTCTGCGCCAAGCGGGGCACAGCAGCGAACGAGAGAAGGTTCTCACCACCCTAGGGTTTATTTCTAATCCGGGTGACGGGCGTCGGACTGGTTTCATGCTGAACGCATGTTGGTGACACCGGACAGCATACTCTTGTTTCATAACTGGAGTAAACTCCCTTTAGGGCCGAATGCTGCGAACAGAAATAGTACAAGTTCTTTACATCGCGACGTTTTCATCTCCTCGGCTCGCCCCTAACTCTGCCCGCCACTGTACCTCCTCCTGGTTCGCCCTCACCCTGCCCGCCAACAGCACCTGCTCGTGGTTCGCCCTCACCCTGCCCTCCAGCCGCACCTGCTCCTGGCTCGCCCTCACCCTGCCGGCCAGCCGCACCTGCTCCTGGCTCGCCCTCACCCTGCCCTCCAGCCGCACCTGCTCCTGGCTCGCCCTCACCCTGCCCGCCAACTGCACCTGCTCCTGGCTCGCCCTCACCCTGCCCGCCAACTGCACCTGCTCGTGGTTCGCCCTCACCCTGCCGGCCAGCCGCACCTGCTCGTGGTTCGCCCTCACCCTGCCGGCCAGCCGCACCTGCTCGTGGTTCGCCCTCACCCTGCCGGCCAGCCGCACCTGCTCCTTGGCTTGCCTGGTTCGCACCTGCTCCTCGGCTGGCCCCTCACCCTGCCCGCCAGCCGCACCCGCTCCTGGTCGCAGGGTGCCGGGCGTGTGGGCTCCGTGAAGCCTGCCCTCTTCGGAATAATTCCGTCTGCCGTGAACAGCGGTCTATCTCAGCTTTTAAAATTATAGCTCTCAGATGCGATTTCCTCTTCACGCTCCTCGAAGCAACCAGATCTGCTCAAGCATAGGTGCGATGAGGAAGAAACCTGGGGGAGAGAGTGTTGTACCGTGTCTCCTGCTAAACATAAACGCGGCGTCCCTCCATTCACCGAATGACGTGCCACCCAGGCCTGTGCAGAGCCCGTCCTGCCAGCCCCTCGCGCCGCACCGGCCTTGTTAGGATGAGAGGCCCGGCAAAGGCGGCAGGGAGGACAGGCAGTGAGTGCAATTCCGGCGAAGGCTGCTTGCTGAGAAAGGCAGGCAGGGGGTCCCCTTTCCTACAGCACACGCGTCTCCATACGTGAAAAAAGACCGAAAAATATCACCAGAAGCCATTTATTCTAAACGTCACTTTTCTTTGTTACCCACTTAAGTCACCCTCTGATACGCAGACGTCAACCATACCAGTTCAGAGCGGAAAGAAAAAAGGCCGTTTATCTCATCCAATTCCTC